TTTATCAGCACATTTTGGAAGCCAAGACACAGAATACCTTTCCATGGTAAAGATGGGCTATTGTAGGGATGGCAGGCCACAAATAAGAAACCGGAGGTTTCCTTATGCTCTTTAACTGCCTAGCTGCTGTATTCAATCAGCATCAGCTGGTCAGTGCAAATGGAGGGAGACGCCATAGACTGACAAGTAGAAGATGAGGAAGACAACTTATTGATATGCTGGTCAGCTGGAGCAAGCCCAGGTTAGACATTAGTTTTTGACCTTAAGAAGGGACATAAAGAAATAAAAGCGAGAAGCCTGATGAACAGAATAAGTAAAGCTGCTGCAAGTTTATGGAGCAACGAAAGGGAAAATAGGAACTGAAGTGAGTGTGAGGAAGTGGAGAGAAAGACAGGCATTTACAGAAAGCTGTGGAAGAGACACTGGAAACTGGGATAACAGAGGAGGAGGCTTGAGTGTAGAATAGGGGAGATACAATCTAATGAAATAGAAAGATGACCTGAACCAATGCAAAAGCAATTTTACCAATATGGCATAGGTTAGGGAATAAGCTCATTCCCAAAGAATGTCATACTTTTTGCCAGTACAGGTAGAATTTAAACCTATGATGTTTATTAAGTTTATAAGCACTAGCTGTAAATGTCTAGCTATGTGGTAGTACCTAGACAACTAAGCAGAGTTGAGCCTGGCTAATATTAGATGGGAGACCACCAGGAAATACTAAGGCTGAACAGGGAAGTAGGAAGATATCCTAAAAGAAAGCAATAGCGCATCACTTTTGAATTATTGCTGGGAAAACTACATAGACATGTCCAAGAAATCACGAGGAATCAAGCTTGACTTGAAAGGGCCTCTATTGTAATTCTGCGAATTTGGACTTTGAATAAGCATTCAGAAGAGTAAGAGAATAAAAGAACCTGGAGTTTATTAATTGCAAATATCTTGTAAGTCTTGTGCTATGCTTAGATATAAATGCATACCAAATAAAAATACTAGTAATAAAACTTTTAATTCTGAAATACATTTTCTACTGGCTGTTAGTTTTAAGATGCACAGTATTTTCTTATATTTGGGCTTTGGTAACAGACACAACACTTATTCAGTATTATTTTCAAAATGTTAATTGCATGGAGGGTTGCAGAATTCTAGCCTGATTTCCTGGGCAATGAGAATTATCATGAAAACTACTTCTGGTACATTCCTTACACATTCCTTCTTTCAAAAATGCAAGCAATTCTTAATTTGGAATACATATTTCTGCTTGTTAATGTCTCTTTTTTTCTTTGGCTAGCAAATAGAAGAAAGGAGTTCACTGACTCCAGGAGCCTCAGTTTACCCGAAGACTATTGATCAGTTAACAAACATCACTTTGTTACTGCTTCTCCCAACATGGACACATGGCAGAGAGGATCTCTCAGGTCCTCAGGTTTCTTCAAGCGGCTCTCACTCAGGAGGCACAAGAAACTGGACAATCAGGCTATTATCTTGAACCAGAACAGCCACACAATAGACTCCAATGAACAGTATGACAAAAAGAAGTTCCTAAGAAATTTCAAAGAAAAGCCAGACTATTTTTCATGTCAAAGTGAACAAAACCTTGCCACTAAAACACAGCCACCTCCCAAACCACCTCGCTTATATCTGGACAGTGCCAGCTGCCCTAATATAATAGACCACAAAGCATCTTCCTCTACAGAAATCTCCTTTTTAAGCACTTCCTGCCATTTTCACAAGGCTACTCAAACACCCCCAGACCTACTTTACAAGGACCAAACCATGAACTCTGAAACTCTCTCCAGGCACAGTAAACCTCCCCTTGATCCATCAGACCCCTTCTTTTCTTTCACACTAGACTTGGGGCCCTCACTGCTGGATGATGTTTTACAAACCCTCAGAAAACAGAATTTATTGTTAAATTAGCTGGAATTCTCACTAAAACCAAGGAATTAATCATACTGGCTCTTCTGATTCATAGACTAAGTTACTTTTGGTTCTTTTTAAAATGGGCCTTTTCCCATAAGAAGACTGTGTCATCTCTTAGAAGTTACTATTAATTAATCTTCCTTTTTTATCTCATTTTGATGAGCAGGCAATATACTTGCTATATTTGGACTAATCAGAAATCCTAGAGCATATGTGTAATGTGCAAGAGAATGGGAGGTTTTGGCAAGAGGGTCTGTATCATACGGAATGCATGGATTTGTTTGGGTAAAATAAAATATCTCAGAGGCCAGCTGTTGTACATAAGGCTACTTTAGACACAGAGGGCAAGAACCCTGATCCATCGATAAGTGAAATGGAAACTCTGAATATGAAGTTTATCTTCCTTTGTGTCAATACAGAGTTTCTGTAATTTCTTCCTTCAATAGGGGGGAATGAAATTATATTATTAACTGCATCTACATCATACTATGGATATAAAATGTGAAAGAGAAAGTATAAACTAATCTTTATTAAACAAATTTACTTTATTTCCTTTGCACCTTCTTTAATTTCCAGTGACAAGTATTCATCTAACAGTGTAAATGGGGAAAATCTTTGTATTACCCTTTCCAGGCTGGCATCTTCAAAAAATGTTGGGCTGCAGCTTCTAATAGTCCCACCCAACTTGATCCTTGCTGTGATGAAACACATCTGAAAGGTGTTAGATTGGGCAGACAGGCTACCCTACTATATCAACCACTATATCTACTACCAGCAATCATTTGCAGGCATCAATTTGGTTTACAGTAAGCATCAGTTAGAGAACAAAAACTAGCACGAGGAAGCCATAATTTCAAAAGAAAGCAGCAAGTGACCTCATCTAAACTGGATCAGAGTCCCACAGCAGCTTTCTTGCCAAAATAAAAGCAGCTGCATTAGGCAGACATAAACATGACTAATGCTATACATAGCTCATGGAATAATCCTACTGAATTCTCAACTCCACCTACTGCTGCATACATAAGATGATGACTGCACCATCAAGATAAAGCTGAATTGTGACAAGAATTCCTAATATACAAAGGGCTTCTGTGGTTGCTTCAACTTTAGGCTGATATGAATATGTCGGTGTCAGAAGTGAATTCACATTATTTCCTCAGGCTGATAGCAAGTATAGTCAGCCTTTGCCATTTTCTCATTCCTCTAACACAAAAAAATTAATAGCATTATATACCTCAAGGGGATTACCAACAAACAGGTTCAAACCACAAGATGTTTCCTCCTGGATGCCTCAGAATGACATGTACACAATAGGCGTATAATTGCCAGCAAATGGACAGATAAACCCTATGGATGGCAGGGAGTGGGGTGCATGAGGAGGATTTGAAGTGAAAATACCTCACAACACCTAGAACAGGAAGTTGTGGGAAGGTATTTTCCAACTGGTTTCTTTGCCCAGTGTAATTGTAAAAATGTTTTCCTCTCATTAAAATCAAGGGGATAGAATTAACTGTTTCAGCTCCAAGTCTGGTATAGCTTGCAGGCCCAGCAGGGGAATGACAGGACTTGGGGGCAGGTATTTTTTTCAGCTACTGAGCTCTTTGACATTTTGCATGGCATGTGTGCCCTCACAATAGGTCCATAGTGGATGCTCACTTATTCCACAAAATGCTTGTTATGGTAAATATGACTAAACTCTAACTAACCGTTTATTACAAAGCAAATCTGTGAGATCTGTTACCCCCTTCTATTTATTTTACTTTTTACTCTTTATGGCCATAATATAGAGAACAGATTGAAGGAAAAACCACCACAACATACAAGACAGCATAAATATAAAAAGCAAAACACAAAAATAAACAAGAAACAAAAAACAAAGGAAAAAAATACATATATTTATATATCGGGGGCCCTTCAGATATTCATTCATGCTCTAATCTCACAGCTTGACTACTACAACATGCTCTACATGGGGCTGCCCTTGAAGACCGCCCAGAAGCTCCAACTGGTCCAGAACGCGGGGGTGCGAGCAGTAATGCCTCAGTATACCCATGTAATGCCTCTGCTTTGCAAACTGATTGGTTGCCAGTTTGCTTCTGGGTGCAATTCAAGGTGCTGGTTGTTACCTATAAAATCCTACATGGCATAGGGCCTGGTTACTCAAGGGACCGCCTGTCTCTCATAGCATCTGCCTAGCTAACTCAATCCTGCAAGGTTGGTGCGCTCCGAGTTCCTTTGATTAAACAAAGTCATCTCGAGAACCCAGAAGCACACCTTCTCTGTAGCAGTGCCTGCCATCTGGAATGAGGTTCCCCCCGAGATCTGGATGGCCCCCATTCTGCTATTGTTTAGAAGAGCTGTGAAGACCTGGTTGTTCACCCAGGCCTTCGACGAGGGACAGTGAGACCCTTGGTTCATTCCATCTGGTCTGCCATACTTTATCTTTAATGTTTCATTGATTTTATTGTAATCTGTTTGATTGTTGTGAGCTGCTCAGAGTCACTGAGAGTCGGGCAGCATACAAATTTAATAAATAAATAAATAAAAATTAATGTAGCGACACACGTACAGGTAGTCCTTGTGTAATGTTCAGTGACTGAAGTTATGATAGTGCTGAAAAAATGGCCTTGCGACTGGTCCTTGAACTTATAACCGTCACAGCACCCCAAAATCATGTGATAAAAATTCAAGTCAGCCTGCATTTACGACTACCTCCCCACTGCCCTCTCTCCCTCTGACCTTTGTCTTTGCCTGCCTCCCCTCTGCTGGGCTCACCATCCCAGCCGCGAGCAGAGAGGCACTGCGGCTCTGGGGCTTCTTGCACCCTCGCACACCCTCCCCCACCCAGCAGCTGCCACTCCCAGCCCCACTTCACCAGCCACCCACACAACCTTGTGCACCATCCCCAGCCCTGCTGCACTTGCCCCATGCCTCACTGGCCGCTCGAACACCCTCCCTCAGCCCCTCTGTGCTTGGCCACACCTTGATGGCCACCTGCGCACCTTTGTGCACCCTCCTCCACCCAGCAGCAGCCACTTACCTGCCTGCCAGCCTGCTTGAGAGCTGTCTGGGACTTGCAACTTCCTGCCGTCTTCATGTTAATATATTTGATCCTTATTTCTCTACCCAAAATTGGTTGTTGGAAGCTGGCAGGAAGTTGCAAGGTCTTCGCTTAACGACCTGCGATCCTCGCTTAACGACGGCAACCGGGACTGCAGGGATTGTCGCTAAGCAATGTGGTCACATGACATCGTGCTTTACAACCACATTACTTAGTGACAGAAATTCCAGTCCCAATTACCATTGTTAACCGAGGACTACCTCTATAAGAGCAACTCAATGTTTAACTGAGCTTTGATCACAAGGAATAATATTGACTGGTCTTTCCATTACATTTATAAACAGCCAATTTGATGGCAAGAATGATGTCTTCGATTTGGAAATCAAACCTTAAGTAGCCTTATCTTTCAAATAAAGCTACACTCCATGGTCAATAAGGCCAATGTTCTTCATAAATAAATTCCAAAATTTCAGTATATCATATTAACATCATGTTAATATATTTAATCCTTATTTCTCTACCCAAAATCAAATTAACAACGGTGTGAAAATTAAAGAAAATGGGACAACCACAGAAGAGGCCCAATGATTGATTATTTATTTATTTATATAAATAAATAAATAAAATCACTGGGCCTCTTCTGTGGTTGTCCCATTTTAAAGAAGTGAATACAAACCTTTCTCACAAATCAATTGAGGCATCCAATAAATTTGAAAAAGAATCTTTTGTTAAATTAATCTCCTTTTAAGATCCTAGGAAACATAAGACCACTGGTTATTTTAAATAGAATGTGTTAGCTGTTTATTCCAAAATTCTTGCAAATAACTAATCTCTATCTAGATAATACTCTTCAATTGTCTGGAAAAATAAACAGCAGGTTTAGAATCTTCCAAGACATTTTCCAGTCCTCCAAATAATTTAGGGGTTTCAGAAACTGCTAGTGTATATAGTCCATATTGTGAAATCAAAGGATGTTTTAGTTGAATGTAGGACCGTTCTGCAGTTTTAAGTGACCCAAGTTTTTCTTGTAAACCAACTCAGCCCTGAACAAATGCTTATCTCCTGTTACTGCCAGCTGATTGAGGTGCAAGCTACTTATTCAAGAAAAAAGAACAGTCTTTTAACTTGTTTTAGCCTAAAAATATACTGATATAAAATACACTTATTTAATTCCTTTTTAGCAGGAAATCTACTGATATATGAACACTGGGTACATGACCTGATTTAAATTGCAATATGTTCCATTAAATTGCTGCTGTATAGTCAGAAACAAAACTCAGTAATGGATCATCTAATAATAGCAGAACAGCCCAATCCCTGCAATCTAATAAGGCCTTTATTTATTTAGCACAACTACTTCACCCCTACAGGCTACATACTTAATTAGAGCGCCTAGTTTTCTTTACCCTTTAGCTTAGGCATGTCACATGACCTCTTGGCAAGATGCATTGTTAATAAAAAGAAACCAAGCCAAAATTAGTAATAAAAGATTTCAAAAGAAGCAATAGCTAAAGCCTCCCTTGAATCAACCTTGACACCTGGTGATTCCATGGATACACCCATGTTTTCTTGGCAACATACAGAAGAGATTTGCCACTGTCTTCTTCCGGGATGTTTTTTGAACTTCTCATTCTAATCTGTTGTCCTGAGATTTCCTGGTGAAATCTCATCCAAATCCTAACCAGATTGGATCTGCTTAGCTTTTTTGAGATCAGGCCAGGTCGATGCTGCCATCTTCTATGACATAATAAGCAATCCTCAACACCAGAGTTCTACTACCAAAATGTCAGCAAGAACTTTTAATTCAAGTCAGTTATTCCTCTTTCACCCTTAAGAACAGGATTCAAGACCAATAATATATACAGGGACTGCTTGTGATAGTTGTGCCAATATTGTGAACAGAGAAAAAAATCTTGGCCCCAAACAACCTGTGGTTTCTGCTGGATTCTATCCAGTTGAGTGTTACCAGTCATAGCATTCTTCTCTAATATATTCTGGATGAGATAAACTGTGGCAGTAAACACAGCCCTGTGGAATTGGACTAGAAAGCCAATCTTGCAAAGAGCTCTAAGTATATTCCAGGTGGAGCTACGTAGGCCCCAGTCAACCTCAGGGCCATTGAGAGGCAGTTTCTCAAGACCAACCACTGTGAATTAAGCCCAAATTACCAAGTTACTTGTTATCAAAACAAAGCACACACAAAAAAATGCTTCTCCAGAAAAGCTGGCAGTATACCTGCTCATTAAATACATAAGAGCTATTTTTTTCACCCACATATTGTCAGAAAAGTGTATTCAGGTCATGTTTAAAGGGAAAAGGAGGCCAAACTATGGCCAAAGTGTCTCTTGTTTATTTACATTTAGCAGAGGCCACAACACACCAGATTGTTAGTTGGGGGATGGGGATAGGAATGCATTCCCCGTCTCACTTATGTACAGTTCTCGTTGGAAACAATGGGAGTTGTAATGAAGGGATGGCCAATTTGGGTGGAAGGCTACTGTAGAAATATAACCCAGATCACATTTAAAATGTTTGTTTACCTACTCCCTAGTTTTCCTACCATCACCTAGTTCCACCTACCTGGCTTTCTGTCTGTGAGTTCTTTAACAGATTATTTCCTAATAGTGTCAGATATAAAGTCAAAATAAATGAACATTTAAAAATAAAACATCATATTTGCAGACATATTTGTATTTCACAAAAAACACATTGCCATCAACAGAAGAGAAAGAGCTATCATGTTAGAAACCATAGAACAAAACTATAAATGTTATTTTAAAGGGTCTACAAGCCTATATAGCCTATTTGGAGATTTGAAAATATAGTTAAGATATTTAAGAGGAATTATATTTCAGGAAGATTGTACCTGAGATCAGTTTCATACTGCATCTTTGCAAAAAAAAGTGCATTAAATTAATCAGTTCCCTAAAAATATTGAGAGTTTCCAAAAATTAGAGGCATAATTTTTATTCTGAGTACAGGGGCATGATAACTACGGCCCACAGTTGCAAAAGGTGTAGTCCACAGAAGATAGAGAAGCTGTATTGTTTCCCTTCTGCTTGAGGTAGCTAGGAAGGGAGGGGGATGTGAATCTGCAGTCCACATGCACATGCATTTATCCCTGAATCTGGTAACATAAGTTAGCATCAAATAGATTGCCCAATCTCTGTTCTAAAGCATGAGTTCTCAATATAAGGAACCTTTGAGGAGGACTTGTTTACTCCAACTTCCTTACCTGAAAAAAATATCATGTACATGTTTCCAAGGCTCACATTTCTTCAGCTGCTCATATATTTCTTCAGTAACCAACACCAACAGAGCAAATGCTGTGGCTATTTCATTCCACATTTTTAATTAGCAGTAATTCTATTAATTCTAGCACAGTGGGTTTACATGAATTCCAAACTGAAGACAAATTTGTATTTGTTTCAGTTAAAATAAATCTTAAAAGAAAAACTTAAAGGTGTCTTAAAGAATGCCTTCCAAATCAGAAATATAAAGAATGAGAGAATATGTTGCGAACACTCTTATTGAGTACATGTAAAAACAAATTATACTTTAAAGCAGAACAAAAGCAGCTTGTATTGCTGTTACCTGGGATATCTGTGGGTGAACAGTGCCATCAGCAAACAGAGTGCTACTCTGTGGTTGACCCTCTAGCCAGGTGATTTTTAAAGGATTGTCTGTTAGGCCAACTTCATTCTTCACTGCCATTTCCTAACAAATAAAAACAGCCAACACTATGCAATCATCTGTATTTCAACGATCCCTGCTCCTGTAATCAACCCAGGCAAACAGAAGAATGGCTCCAGGCAAAGTAATTGAATGGCTGTGTGAAAAGGAACTGAGAACCTCAGTCCAGGCTTGCTCAGAGTTCCCTCCTAAATTCCCTAATTAGTTCATATCATTTTGATGTAGAACATCAACTGACAGTAGGACAAGAATCCAGTAGGCTATATCATTTTAAAATATATTGGTAATTCTTTCAACAGACCCCAATTTTTACCAATAGATATTAACGGATACCTATATCAGATAGGAGGGCATTTTTACAAGCAGATAAAAAAGTATAATAATATTAATGACATTTACCAACAGAGGAACTTGAGGGTGGTTTCTCAACTCTTGTAAGGACTTCGTATTTTACTTGTAATAACTTCACTAAAGACCAGTCCTATACAGGTAGTCCTTGTTTAACGACTGCCTCAGACAGCGACCGTTCGCAGTTACAATGGTGATGAAAAAGTAACTTTGCAACTACTGCCCACATTTACCACCTTTGCAGTGTCTGTCATGTGTTTGCTATTACAGTCAGTTAGTGGGTGTTGTCCTATGCCTGACCTGTTTTTTTCTCTCTACCCTGCATAGCAGAGAGATTGCCTAAACAAGCTATCTCTTCCAGAGCTGCTTTTCTTTGCAGTGTAGCACATCCCTAAAAAGTGCTAACCACAAGTTAACAAGCTCAGCTCTGTGACCTTAGTTGATTAGAACCTGTCAGCTGGCTTGCACTGCTGCCTGACACTGACAAGACCCTAATCAGTTTCCACACAAAAGGCTTTTGTTTGCCTCCTAAATGGTTCCCTGCTTGCAACCACCAGCGCACTAGGCAAAGAATGGGCACTAGCACATTTGTTTCAATGTGTATTCCCCACTGTGTGTCCCACTCTCTTATAATCTCTTCCTCTCCAATGAACGTAAATATAAACATTAATTCTCTTCTTGCTAATTATCCCAGCACCCGAGTGAACATTCCAAAAGGCGGGGGAGTGGGGGAAAAGGGCTATAAGGGCTATGCCCTTTATCTGGCTTCCTCGTGAGTTGAGTTCCAGAAACCTTCCCCGCTATTTGGGCTCACCCAACTGTTTGGAGTTGTATTGTTCTGATGCTGTAAAGCAAAGGAAAGCTGAAGGAAAATTGTAAACACTGTTGCAGTCACGTGATTTTCACTTAGCAACTGCTTTAACAACCGAGTTGCCGGAACCAACTGAGGTTGCTAAATGAGAATTATCTGAATGTTGCGTTGTTCAACTGGCCCAGTAACTTGCCCAGTTTCTGGGCCAGTCCTGAAAAACAGTTCCCACTTGGTTCACTATGATCACAGGAGGGGCTTCTTTTTCTGATGTAACTGGCAATGTAGCAGTAGCATCACTCTCCACAACAAGCTGACTCAGCCAGGGAAGAAGCAATTTTACTGCCACTAGCATCTGCTCTCCATGCTGGCATGATACCACACAAATATGATACTCATAAAAATCTATTATCCTAATAATATCAAAAACTGGCTTTCAATTTATAGGTAGTCCTTGCTTAACTACAGTAATTGGGACCAGCAACTTCACTGCTACATAATGCAGTTGTAAAGTGCAATGTCATGTGACCGCGTCAACTTATGATGACAGTTCCAGTTGCCGTTGTTAAGCAAATCCCATGTGGTTGCTAGGCATTATGTCACATGATCACCATTTGCGACCTCCCGCCAGCTTCCCCATTGACTTTGCTTGTAAAGGTCACAAATGGTGATCATGTGACCATGGGATACTGTGGCCATCGTAATTGCGAGCCAGTTGCCAAGCACCCAAATCACAATCACATGACCACAGGGACGCTGCGACAGCTACAATTATGAAGACCAGTCGTAAGTCTTTTTGTTCAGCACCATCATAGCTTCAAAATGTCACTGAACAAGGGGTCATAAACAAGGACTACCTACACATTACAATGCTACCTTCTTCAATAATTGCCTGAGGAACCTCTTGCATTAGCGTAGCCACTGTGGTACACCTTGATATTTCTAAATTAAAATACAAACAAAAATAACTTACAGCAGCTTTCACGGTAGCAAATTCCACAACTGCACTTCCTGCCTTCTTGTTTGAGATCAGCAAATTAAGAACTTCACCATACTATCAGAATCAAGAAGAAATGTAAAGTAAGATGTAGGCCTAGAAAAACAATATCTTCTAAAACTTGATCTGAGGCCTAGAAGCTAACTCCTGTAAAAACTGGACTGACAGAGAATGTATGAATAGAGGATGTTTAGCCTTGAGAAAAAATGACTGTGGGGAATATTATGATTTTCAAGTATCTGAGGGGTGATCAAGGAAAAAGTCAAGACTCCTTCTTTACTGTCTCAGATGAATGCAGGACATAAAATAACGGATTTAAGTTACAAAAGGCAGATATTTTGAATATTAAGAAAAAATTCCAAACAGTAAAAGCCATTTGACTGAGGAGAGCTAGGCTCCCATTCACTGGATGTGTTCAAGTAAGAGACAAAATAACCATCTCTTCTTAAGAGATGCTTTCATTTGCACTCCTGTACTGAACAAGAGGGTTGGACAATGGCCATTTGTAACTCCATAATCAGATGAAACCTTTCTACAATATGGATAGGGAAAGCACTGTAGTGACATGAGGATAAATGACAGCTAATCTTATTTGTGTTGTGATGTATTATATAGAATCCTTTTAAGAATGCTATGCTGAGTTTTCAGAGATTTTACTATTTACTTTATTTAATTACTTCATCTAGTATTTTACATAATATTTTACATAATAATATATTACACAGGCAATGTTATGGTTCAGACATGATGCAGACCGTAAGAAAGTTCAAAGACAACAACACTACCACTACAACAATAATAATCTATATGCTTCCAGACTCCCAGTGATTCTGGACAGTTTACAAATTGTCAAAAACATTTTAAAACAAGGAAACAACAAAAAACAAAAAGAATAAAGGTAGCAGAAATGACAAAGCAGATGAGAACAAATTAAAAAAAGATAAAAAGAAAAAAGGCAGTTTCAAGCCTTTCAGAACAGCAAGCTCATAAGATGCAAATAACAAAGTAGTATTCAGCCTAGTTCATTTTTTCTCCACCAGCAAAAATAATGTTGTTTTCTAAGGTAAAACCAAGTTATCCTAGTGCAAGAATGGACAATGTGTGACCCTTCAAAAGTTAATGGATAGCAACTTCTATTGATCATTCTAGCTAGGGCTGATGGAGAGCTGAATTTCATCAGGAAGATCATATGTTGCCCACACTTGGCCTCAGCAGTTGCTCCAGAAGTATTAATAGTAATAAAGCAAGATTTTATATGAATAAAACATTATTCACCTTGACATTTGATAGTTCTGCTTCACTAACAGTTCCTATCATATTGTATAGTTTTATGTTTTACTTCATCCTCAGGATAGGAACTATACATTTATTTCTTATGTGTCTAGGATGTGTCCTAGACTAGATTATTTTTTATTTCCTCTTCATTACTGGAATATGTTTTAGATTCTTCTATTCATCCTCTTCTTATATCTGATCGTGCTTCTATTACATTAACCCTTCAATTTAAAAAGCTTAGTTCGTGGAAGGTAGTATTTTAATCCTTCTTTGTTATAAGAGAATAGCTTTTTGAGTTGTATTAGACAGTTAACCTTACAATTTTTTGAAATTAATCATGATTCACCCACTCTACATACTGTATGGGACACTTATAAAGCCTGTATGCAAGGTCATGTTACTGCTGGTGCTTTTAAGAGAATGCGAGAAAAAAATCTGCATCAACAGATTAGAAAATTTGGTTAAAGAGAGATTGCTAGATTATGCAAAAGATACTATGAAGTAGGCCAATAGTACATTTGTATTAGCCAAATGACGTTAGAAATTAATACATATTAAACAATGCCTTCCTTACTCATTGTAACTTGTAACATCGTAACTCATCTGGAAAAGATTTATAATGATCATGGCATGATCTCATTGGTTTATGAAGAAATTTACATAAAAAGTCTTCGCTTATTCTTACAGAACAGCCGTAATTATACAGAACAACCAGCTGGCATTCTGGTGAACCTTCTCCTACAATGAACAGTCATATGCTAGTGCATTTAGCCTGTCTGCCTTTGCTTAGCTATTCCCACTACTGCATATAGCTAAACAATCCCCAAATGCACTGCTTAAATGTTCTCCTAACCAAGGTGCCAAATAAGCCAGAATTCAAAAGCCAAGAACAGATCTTGGATTTCAGTCCTAGTTCAGAAAGAAAATAAGCCAGGATTCTTAGTTCAAATGATAGGTCATACTGAATGCCTATAGCTCATTCAAGCCAAGCCAGAATACACCAAAAGCCTAGTTTACTGCTCCATATGAATGTGATTAATATTAGACAAAGGAACTAAGATATTTTAGAACAGGACCTTTTGTAGAATTTGCAGGAGAATTTCCTTTGAGTAACCTCCTTTAGTTTCATCTTCTTTCTTGCACTTCCATCGTAGCTGATGGATAAAAGTCACAAATTAGTTTCACATAGTTCAGGGTCCACGGCCTTCTGTATATCAACACCTGCCATTTAGTTTCATTTCTATGATACTATAAATATAATGAATTAGAATTTGTACAGATACTGAATGAATTTTCACTTTGCATAAGAAGAGGCATATGGAAGAATTCACATTTTAGAATAACAAAATCTTATTACATACACCAAGTAGCATCTGGAAATCTGTCAATATTCCAAGTCACAGAGACTTAACTTCTAATTACCTTCATCCTAGTGCCTAGATTCTAGATTAAAGTGCAAGGAACACATTAAGGTGAAGTAAGTGACAATTCCAATAAGGAGCGAGGATGCCAAGGGCAGTCCAGCATTTTGGGAGGCTGCAGGCGATCCAAGTGGCTTCTATTGATGGAATGATAAATTAGTTGTTCATCTTTCTTCATAGCTCAAATTTTTGGGGATGTCTTACTTTGAGCTTGGGTGTTCCTGTGCCATTCCCTCCATACCCATCTTGTTTACCTCAAAGAAGAAAATCAAATAAAATGAAAATTATGATTATAATAGTTTTGAAGATAAAAAAGAATATCCTTTTTTGCTAAACAAAATCTTAAAGCAATTCAGTGTTCGAGATCAGCTTATACTGTTTTATCCCCAATGTAAAGTATTCTATTACAGATAAAATTTACACTATCCTGTTATACAAATCAAAGGATGTCTTAATTTATTCAGTACTCCCAGAGATGAAGCATCATTGTCAGTAAGAATTTAAAAAAAAAACACCTTAGGGAAATGGGAATGGCAGAAAGACTAATGAAGACTGAAAAACTAATCCCTCATGTCAACTAACACTGAAGAAACTGCAACAAACATCGCAAAGTTTAAGATTCATTAAACTAATTCTCATTTCCTTACTTTTATGATAGGTATAAAGATCTTGGGAAATAAACAACTGTCTAAAGTCATATATGAAATAAAAGTTACAGGGTAAGACCTGCAATCCTGTACACATTTACCTTGGAAAAAGTTCTAGTGAAATCAAGAAAACTTACTTTTGAATGGACACTAAGGTTCCATGATGGATTTCCCAATTTAACTCTGTTTTTTTTAAACTTCATGTCAGGATTAAGCAAAATATTCTATCTCTAAAATGCAGGCAAAAGCTCTGCCCTTGCCTGGCCTTACTTCGTATTCGCTCCTTTTCAAGCCGGATTTGTTCCTGGATGAGTTTTTGTTGTTCCTCCAGTTGGCGAGATCCCTCTTCACGTAATCGTTGGATCTAGGATGAGTAGCAGGAAAGAAAAATCCTGGAAATATTGCTTTAAAAAAACTGGCTCTAGTAAAAGAATATAGCTTTTCACAGTTTTGGGGGGAAAACTGTCATAAGAAATTGACCAATCATCTGTCTAGTTCCACATTCTATTTATTGACCACAATTAAACAAGCTAAAGAGCTTTATTTTAAAGTGTGAAGTATGAACATAGAAAGCTGTCTATATTGTCAGATTATTTGACCATCTTGCTTAGTAATCTCTACATTTACTGGGGGAGACTTCCTAGGTTTGCAATCAGGAATTCTATTGGAAGACGCAAAGGACTGAAATCTGGAACCTTAGCACATGTTCTCCATTGAATTATATAATACACATCTTTGTGCTGTGCTTTGAAGCCTGACATACAAAGATATTTTAACTAGGATCCCAGCATCATTTATTTTGTATAATTCAATAAAGTTCTCCACTGCTGTTACTGAGCAGAAAGTATATCAAGCAATTTCATATAAAATAATACGTTTGCCTCAGTGACCTTACCTCTTGCTCCAACGTCCTAGTTATCTCAATCTCTTCCTCCCTGCTAACCCGGGAGTGAGCTTCTCTTTCCCGAGCTTCAAGATCTACAGTAAAGTAGAACAACTGACTGCAGAGGGATTTGATTTTCAATGGTTTTCATATGTACAATTAAGAGAAAAATTCAATATAGATAAAAAAGTACAGGTATAGAACACTGTAAAACAGAATTTGAAAATGAATTATGTACAAATGATTAACATGTGATTGCTAAAATGCATAAACTTTTGTTGAGATTTAAACTGAAGAACAAGTTAAAGAGTGTATGATAAAATAGGCCAAGAACTTTGGTTACAATATTCAAATGGATCAATGGGAGAGAATGTAGTCAAAAGGCTTGAAATTCACACTGTCCTATAATTTAAAAGAGAATTTTATAAAATGAAGTACTGTTGGTGTATATCACCAGAGAAATTGTCTAGGATGTATAAAGGTACTTCTAATTACTGCTGGAAATGTGAAAAGCATGAAGGGACATTTTATCATGGATGGTAGGTGTGTGAAAAAGCAAAAAAGTACTGGACACAAATACATATAATGAAACCATGAATTTTAAAATGAATATTCAGATGAAACCTGAACTTTTTTTTACTAGGATTTATGGATACCCAATTACAGGTAGTCCTCGCTTAACAACCACAATTGGGACTGGAATTTAGGTCACTAAGCGATGCAGTCATTAAGTGAATTATCACATGACCGCTTTGCTTAGCGACCACAATCCTGGCAATCCTGGTTGCCATTGTTAAGTGAATGCCCTGGCTGTTAAGCAAGACAATTTCCTGCCAGCTTCCCACAATCAAATCAGTGGGGAAGCCGGCAGAAAATTGCAAGCCCCAGGTACTACCAAGTGGGCAAGGGAGCAAGGGTGTCAGGACCTGCGC